CTGGAAATTCACCATGGTGCAAATTCATCAAAATCATATCCAATTTCTGGTCTGAGCAGAGTACATTGTATGTTTGTGTAATATATTAATACACTCTAAACTTGCATTTTGCCAGTGGGATACACAGGTTCTAGAGAATTACAAGGACCATAACCACTGCAGAGCCTATCGCTCTCATTCTCCACTATAACCCTTCACCACCAGGCTAGCTCAATGCAGGAAACTTCTGAGGGCATTGGAGGAGGAGCAGCAGGTGAAGTTCAGGTAAGTTGTCAAAATGTTTGCTAATTCAAGGTACACCTGTGTAACGGATCACCTGGCACCCCGACTGGGTACCTCCGTTGATGGATGCTCCTAGCACTTGAGGATTCCAAGCACTCTAGCCGACACCACAACCACCGCAGGCCAAACCTCTCTTCCTTCAGAGCGAAGCAGGAACAAGCTCTTAAAAGAGCTTAGGAGTGATTATAGCAAGGGAATATGCATAGCATTGCAATCCCTTGTAGCAGATTCCCCCAATAAGAGACGGCACTCCAAATTGAGGGTGAAGTAGAACTGAGGTTTAATGACACACACTCTGCTTTTATGCAATTCTCCCATGCAAGGGAGACGCCCATAGACAATTATGGATTACCCAATCACACACTGGTTACATCCAACACATCTCATCCCCTTAGCTTGAGAGGTAACACAATTAGCCGTACAGCTTAAAACATACTTTTTACGCAACTTTCATAACTCTAAAACTATACGTACAATATTAATAAAAGTCACATATTATTAATCAGCACATTTCAAATACAAACATACCCAAAAATCATTCGAAGCCGTTCGGGAGATATAAGTCAAGTTTGACCGACCGCAAGCACATTTTCATGCCCAAAACAGTTCCAGAGAATCAGGCTGTGCGGTCGGTCTATTTCCCATGTTAAAGTCAGTTCAAACAGACGAACGACACCCATTCGAATTGTCGAACTGTCGAATGCATTGAAGTCTGGAGAAGGTAAAACTTGAGCTGAATTAAAGATGGCCGTCGCCACGTGTTCGTTTTTTCGAATGGCGGCCCCCCCCCCAACGTTCGGCAATTTACTTACAGCAGGCTCCCAGCCTGGGAGGTAAATTGCCTGCACGCTTCCACTTCTGGGTGGTCTGCCTGTGTGGTACCTGGTTCAGTAAGCCCCATTTACTGAATCAAGTGGGAGAAAGCCAGGAACACAGTATATTAACAGTCTGGGGACAAAGTCTTAAAGGGGCATTGTTCCCAAAAGTCACAGTGTGTCCCCAGATGGTTCTTTAAGGGCCAGCAGCAGCATAATAAAATCAAGTATGCCCACATCAGTTCCTAGAAGGGCAATACATCCCAGGGCCATAGTCGCAGGGCAGGAGGCTGGCAAACAGGCCCCTCCAAAAATCAGTGGCGAGGTTCCTTTCGCCACAACCTGAGTCACCAAAATAAATTTAACTTAATGAAGCAGTTTTGGTGTATAGATCATGTCTCTGCAGTCTCAATTCTCTGCCATTTAGTTTAAATCACTGTAAATTAAACGTTAATCACACACCGGGTGCTCCTACAGGGAGCGTGTTATTAACAGAGCAGGAGATAAGAAATTCTAAATTAAACAGAATTTGCAGTAAATTAAGTTTAAACTTTAGATGACCCTTTAAAGGAAGTGTTTAGGAAGGCTGTGCGGTGCAGTGATTTAACTCCTAAATTACAGAATTGAACAGTGAGACTGCAGGGGGTGCATTCTGTACACCAAAACTGCTTCATTAAGCTAATGCCCCTTTAACCTGGGAGGGCACCTCTGACAGTAGGCTGCAGTGGTTATGATATTTGGAGTATTTCTTTAAAGTAGTACTTTTTACTAATTTTACCATACAAAAAAAAAGACAAGTGAGAGCACTGCTTTAATTGAGAAACAATGTAACACGTATATCACACACAGAGGAGTCAGTGATACCCGTACGTTTTAGGAAACAAGTTCAAGAAATTCATGTCAAGTTAGCCCTTTCCCCCATACAGTAAGTTAGGTGCACACGCTCCCAGTACAGTGTAACTGAAACGGAACAAGGTAAGTTAATGAGTTCAATAAACCCCTTTGGAATGTACTTGGGCTGCATCAAGTTCAGTCATGTAAACTGCACTATTGTGAAATGAAGCTGCACATCCAATGCACATCCAATGCTGGCCACCAGAGGTGCTTTAGAGAGATGGCATTACTTTACTATACCACCTGCGTTATACAGCACTAACATATACCATGACGTAGTACAACACAGACAAGGGATGAGTGTGTAGTTATTTATAGCTATCCTCTTTAAAAAACCCAAAGTCTTGGCTCGGGAATGAGCCATATTCTGGTTAAATAATTCCCATATTGAAATTAAAGGGCCAGTCTAAGATTCTAGCATTTTTGCTTTCGATCCATCGTGTTTTCAGGGACACCTATCACGGCACACTGCGAACCGACAGGCTGACTTACTAGCCAGACACGGCCTAGCTATAGGTTGCAAATCACATCGGAAATACCGTTCATTCCCAATCTCAGACTGAGCACCCAACCCACACAGGAAGTGCTTGGCATAAACCCTCTGGACAGCTTCCTGTTTGGGTACTGGCTGGCGAGGTGGCACAGGTATGGAGGGCATCACAGAGCTCCGCAACAATAAAACTCACAGTATTGTACAGTGACTGAGCGTATCACAGAGCTCCACAGAAGTAAAACTCACAGTAATGTACAGTGACTGAGCGTATTAGAGCTCCGCAGCAGTAAAACTCACAGTAATGTACAGTGACTAAAAGCTTATCACAGAGCTCCCCAACAATAAAACTCACAGTAATGTACAGTGTGTATGAACGTATCACAGAGCTCCGCAACAATAAAACTCACGGTATTGTACAGTGAGCATATCACAGAGCTCCAGAGCAGTAAAACTCTCAGTAATGTACAGTGTGTATGAGCGTATCACAGAGCTCCAGAGCAGTAAAACTCACAGTAATGTACAGTGTGTATGAGCGTATCACAGAGCTCCAGAGCAGTAAAACTCACAGTAATGTACAGTGTGTATGAGCGTATCACAGAGCTCCAGAGCAGTAAAACTCACAGTAATGTACAGTGTGTATGAGCGTATCACAGAGCTCCAGAGCAGTAAAACTCACAGTAATGTACAGTGTGTATGAGCGTATCACAGAGCTCCAGAGCAGTAAAACTCACAGTAATGTACAGTGTGTATGAGCGTATCACAGAGTTCCAAAGCAGTAAAACTCACAGTAATGTACAGTGACTATAAGCTTATCACGAGCTCCGCAACAATAAAACTCACAGTAATTTGCAGTTTGTATAAGTGGATCACAGAGCTCTGCAGCAGTAAAACTCACAGTATTGTACAGTGACTATTAGCCTATCACAGAGCTCCGCAGCAGTAAAACTCACAGTAATTTGCAGTTTGTATGAGCATATCACAGAGCTCCGCAGCAGTAAAACTCACAGAAATGTGCAGTGCATATGAGTATCCCAGAGCTCCACAGTAATATAGCCCAGATTAATAACCATGGAGGAGTACCAGAGCTCCACAGCAATAAAACTCTCAGTAATTTGCAGAGCTCTGCCGCAATAAAAGCAAACACAGGCAGGATAATATAAAAATGATCCACAGTGATAAAAACTAATTCTGCCCCTTGTACAAATTGTATACCCACATACACAAGTGTAAACCATGAAAATATTTAAAGATAAGGACTATGGGCAGGGCAATATATATACACACTCTCTCTCTCTCTAGAGCTTGCTCTTTCTATAGAGCTCTCTCTCCCACAGTGTCTCTCTCTCTCTCTATCCCACAGTCTCTCTGTATCGAGCTCGCTCTCTCCCACAGTGTGTGTGTGTCTCTCTGTATAGTGCTCTCTCTCTATCTGTAGAGCTCTATCTCTCCCACAGTATGTCTCTCTCTCTGTATAGAGCTCTCTCTTTCTCTCTCTCCCACAGTGTCTCTCTGTATAGAGCTCTCTCTCTCCCACAGTGTCTCTCTGTATAGAGCTCTCTCTCCCACAGTGTCTATCTCTGTATAGAGATCTCTCTCCCACAGTGTCTATCTCTGTATAGAGCACTCTGTCTCTCTGTATAGAGCTCTTACCCACAGTGTGTCTCGCTCTGTATAGAGCTCTCTCTCCCACAGTGTCTCTCTCTGTATAGAGCTCTCTCTCTCTCTCTCTCTAGAGCTCTCTCGCTCTCTCTCCCACAGTGTGTCTCTCTCTGTATAGAGCTTGTAGCGGAGAGCTGATATTCCACAGGTTATCTCCACTCATGATCCCAGTGAGGCTCAGTAAGTATTATAAATCCATAAGGCAATAATTCCAGCAGGCAAAACAATCCAACAATATCCCCACACAGATCCCAATGACTGGACGACACACAGCATCAGGAGCAGAACTGAACTTGTAATCACACAACCTTCTTTTAAAGCATTCTCCCATGCAAGGGAGGGATTTACAGTAATTATTACAGTAGCCAATCATACATGAGTTGCCGCCCACACATTCCCTCCCCTTAGCCTGACTCATAATCCCATTATGCAGGACACAGGCCCCCTGGTTTTCTGGATGTACCCCTAAACATAGGGGTACCCTTTTAAATATTATATCCCCTGGTAGCCCTGATCTGGGTGAGGGACATATCCAAAAATCACCCAGATCGGACCAGGGGTTCGGGAATTTCCTGGAGGTAATAAAAAGACCGACCGCGCTGAGGTTAACAGCCGAAATGGGTTCCATACATTTTGGTCCTGCGGTCGGTCACAGAAAAAGGGAACAAAATGCTTGGGTTATGGAGACTGGGGAGGATTCGGAATAAACCCCCTTGTTTGTGGGGTTCTTTCTACCGAACGGGGAGCCGTTCGGTAGTTTCTACACAAAGGGACAGCAGTGTGGAGGTCTCAGCGGTATTTGCCTAGCCGAGTGTCCGATTTGGGTTCCAGACACTCGACGGCAAAACACCGCTGTTCGAGAGGACAAAGCATACACTGCATGGATTGCCAATTACCCATTTGCAACATTGTTGCGAACGGTAATTGGAGGCACACTTATTCCTGGGGTGGTCTGATTGTTCGGTAGTTTCACTCGCATAATAAGTGGAGTGATTTTACTGAACAATCAGCGAATGCTGCATACACTTACATACATATGGCAAAACTTAGCCAAAAACATACGAATACACATAATTCTGAGGACAGCCCAATGCCATCCGCTATAGAGCTCTCAAAATCTCTCTCTCTCTGTATAGAGCTCTGTCTCTTTCTCTGTATGGAGCTCTCTCTCTCTGTATAGAGCTCTCTCTCCCACAGTGTCTCTGTCTCTCTGTATAGAGCTCTCTCTCACAGTGTCTCTGTCTCTCTGTATAGAGCTCTCTCTCTCTCAGTGTCTCTCTCTGTATATAGAGCTCTATCTCCCACAGTGTCTCTCTCTGTATAGAGCTATCTGTCTCTCGCTCTGTATAGAGCTCTCTCTCTCTCTGTATAGAGCTCTCTCTCACAGTGTCTCTGTCTCTCTGTATAGAGCTCTCTCTCTCTCAGTGTATAAAGTTCTATCTCCCACAGTGTCTCTCTCTGTATAGAGCTATCTGTCTCTCGCTCTGTATAGAGCTCTCTCTCTGTCTCTCTCTGTATAGAGCTATCTGTCTCTCGCTCTTTATAGAGCTCTCTCTCTGTATAGAGCTATCTGTCTCTCGCTCTGTATAGAGCTCTCTCTCTGTGTATAGAGCTCTCTGTATAAAGCTCTCTGTATAAAGCTATCTTTTATCGCTCTGTATAGAGCTCGCTCTCTCTCTGTCTCTCTCTGTATAGAGCTCGCTCTCTCTGTATAGAGCTCTCTCTGTCTCTCTCCCTGTATAGAGCTCTCTCTCTGTATAGAGCTATCTGTTTCTCGCTCTGTATAAAGCTCTCTCTGTATAGAGCTCTGTCTCTCTCTTTATAGAGCCCTCTCTCTCTGTATAGAGATATCTGTCTCTCGCTCTGTATAGAGCTCTCTCTCTGTTTAGAGCTGTCTCTCACTCTGTATAGAGCTCTGTCTCTGTATAGAGCTCTCTGTCTCTCTCAGTACAGAGCTCTCTTTCTCTCTCTGTATAGAGCTCTCTCTGTCTGTCTCTCTGTATAGAGCTCTCTCTGTCTCTTTCTCTGTCTACCTGTATAGAGCTCTCTCTCTCTCTTTCCCACAGTCTCTCTCTGTATAGAGCTAGCTCTCTCTCTGTACAGAGCTCTCTGTCTCTCTCTCTGTACAGAGCTCTCTCAGTCTCTCTCTCTGTATAGAGCTCTCTCAGTCTCTGTATAGAGCTCTCTCTCTCTGTATAGAGCTATCTGTCTCTCGTTATGTATAGAGCTCTCTCTCCCACAATGTCTCTCTCTGTATAGAGCTCTCTCTCTCTCTGTATAGAGCTCTCTCAGTCTCTCTCTCTGTACAGAGCTCTCTCAGTCTGTGTGTCTCTGTGTCTGTGTCTCTCTCTGTCTCTGTGTTTGTCTGTCTGTCTCTCTGTGTGTCTGTCTCTCTCTCTGTGTGTCTGTCTCTCTCTCTGTGTCTGTCTCTCTCTCTGTGTCTGTGTGTCTGTGTCTCTGTGTCTCTGTCTCTCTGTGTCTGTCTCACTCTGTCTGTCTCTGTCTCACTCTGTCTGTCTCTGTGCCTCTGTGTGTCTCTGTCTCTCTCTGTGTCTCTGTCCCTGTGTTTGTCTGTCTGTCTCTCTGTGTGTCTGTCTCTTTCTGTGTCTGTCTGTCTCTGTGTCTCTCTATGCTCAGCCAGTCCTGTGTGTGTGTGCTAACTCCCAGCATGCTCAGCCAGCCCTGTGTGTGCGCTAACTCCCAGCATGCTCAGCCACCACTGTGTGCTCTAACTCCCAGCATGCTCAGCCAGCCCTGTGTGCTATAACTCCCAGCATGCTCAGCCAGCCCTGTGTGCTATGACCCCCAGCAAAAAATACAAAAAACAAGGGGAAGGAAGATAGTACAATACTCTTACTCCTGAGCGGGGTTTAACCCCTAATGCAACAAAATACCCTATAAAACTAAACAATAAGGAAGGGAGACAGGAGAAGGGACAGGATGAATGATAGTGTCCTGCAGAGTGGTAGTTGCATCGTTATAGAGTGGTCACCTTAGGATAGGTTGGGCTCGCGGAGATCACAAAAGAGGAAAGATAATTAAAACTTCACTTTTAATATAAATAGTTAAAAGGGGGGTATACAAACAAATTTTTGTTCAGATAACTGTTGTAAGAAATCCTCAAGTGATACAGTTACACTGCCTGTTAACAGAGTGAAATGCCACTGTGGGAACAACAGCTACAAATTAGTAGTGTCAATAATGTATCGATATACCAGTACCCGGGCTCAAGGAAAAATAGCCCCAGTGCAGTGACGGGTCACTCTTAGTAAAGTGACTGGTGGATAGCGCCAGTGATGTTTCCCCTGACGCGCTTTTCCCCTTCACAGCTTCATCAGAGGGGATGACCTGTCACTGCACTAAGAGTGACCTCTTACCATACCAGTTAGAGCTTTCTATCGGCCTCGGCTCGGCCGTTACCCAGCAGCACTTCTTTCATTGTAGCCGTATTGGTGGGAAATTTTCTATTTGTGTTTCCATAGGAGATTGTAGGTTTTTGGCTAAGGGGGTGCCCTCGAAGGCACAAGTACTTAGGGACCACAAGCATAGGAGGATTTCCAGTGTTTTTGTAGTTAACCCCTCTCTGCAGAATCTACCAGGCAACATTTTGCAGTCTGTACCTCCTAGTTACCATACTGCAGATACTCCCGCCAGCACGTACCTCTAGATGCTATTTCTCACGGTCTTTTAACACAGGACCCTGTCATCATTTCTGAGATGCTCTTTTCTGCAGTATACTGGCACTCTCAAGCTTGTTTTGGAGTCCAGACACTGCAGTTTCGTTAAATATTGTTATCAGCTTTGTTAACAGCTTCAGTGCAGCTCACTGGGACTTCGCTATTTTTCCTTGAGCCTGAGTACTGGTATATCGATACATTATTGACACTACTAATTTGTAGCTGGTGTTCCCACAGTGGCATTTCACTCTGTTAACAGATAGAGATGTCGCGAACGGTTCGCCACGAACTCCGGTCAGCTGACACAACCCGGCCAATCTCTGGCAGACCCTCCCTCCCAGACCCTCCTACTTCCTGGACAGCATCCATGTTGAAGGCAGCTTCAACATGGATGCTGTCCAGGAGGTGGGAGGGTCTGGGAGGGAGGGTCTGCCGGAGATTGGCCGGGATGTGTAAGCTGACCGGAGTTCGCCGCGAACGGTTCATGGCGAACCATTCGCGAGAAGTTCGCGACATCTCTATTAACAGGCAGTGTAACTGTATCACTTGAGGATTTCTTACAACACTTATTTGAACTAAAATTTGTTTGTATACCCCCCTTTTAACTATTTATATTAAAAGTGAAGTTTTAATTATCTTTCCTCTTTTGTGATCTCCCCGAGCACAACCTAAACTAAGGTCACCCCTCTATAACAAGGAAACTACCACTCTGCAGGACACTCTGTCATTTATCCTGTCCCTTCTCCTGTCTCCCTTCCTTATTGTTTATGACCCCCAGCATGCTCAGCCAGCCCTGTGTGCTATAGCTCCCAGCATGCTCAGCCAGCCCTGTGTGCTATAACTCTCAGCATGCTCAGTCAGGATTAAGTCGCTCTATAATATATATTCTGTGTAAGGTGAAGACCAGTTAGATCCTGTAACTCACAGCATTCTCATCCAACCCCATGGGAGTGAATGAATAAGGGATGAGCAGACACTATCTGTACATATCTCCATTTATAACCTGACAGAGTCTGCAGCTTCAACTCCCATCACTCTCAGAGGATAACATTCCAGACCAAACTAATAAATCCAGAGTTTTACATTCCAGACCAAACTAATAAATCCAGAGAGTTTAACATTCCAGACCAAACTAATAAATCCAGATTTTAACATTCCAGACCAAACTAATAAATCCAGCCAGAAGTTAACATTTCAGACCAGAGTAGTCAAAGTGAAAGCCCAGCAAGATGGACATATTTGGCTATTTTGGCCTGAGATTTGAAATTCCTGGTCCTGTAATGTGGGTTTAGTGATAGCCGTGCAGGGCCAGGACTGAGTGGGAGGGCGTGGGTAGCCGGGACACTCCCAGGATCTGTTGTATGAAGCTGTAACGGTTGTCATGACGCCGTTAATACTTTGGTAAATGCTTTAACTACTCCAACTGTCAGCCAGCCCATTTCACTCCCAGCAGCAGGCATGCAGCATCTCCTGCAATAAACCTCCACGACACGTCCGCCATGATGGCAGAGAGTCAGCGCAGGGGGAAGGACAGCCATTCTACAAGCTTTGATTTCTCATGGAAGGACTGCAAGTCCCAGCAGGCAGCCAACAGGGAGACCCTAAGGTAAGACTGGGAGCAGGTAGGCTGTAGGCAGGCTGGTGGATTTAACCCCGTAATGTCATCGAGGCAGTTTTACAAGGCAGGGTTAATGGAACGTTGAGATAACGTGGGCTGGGTGACTCCCCCGGGTTAGCCCCCATATTGTATTAGAACAATTTTGAGTACAGTGAATCACAGCATTGACAGTCTGTATCTCAGTGTGCGGATACCCCAACAACCAACAGTCAGAACCAGCAAGACATCATCTCACAATGATTATATTGCAATAGGAGGAAATCCCAGAATTAACGGCCAGCAAAGACCCTGACAGAGGACTAGGAGTTAGTGTGTTACTGTGAATGATTTGCGTTATGGAGAGGGTGAGTGGGAATCTGTGATAAAAGGACATTCTGCTTTTTGTAGAGACAACACAGCAAAATACAAGGTGTTCGGGGAGAGTCCCCCACCGGAGAGCTTCACAGACCGACATTCACAGAATCCAACAGGTGAGGGGGTGACAAGGTGACGTCACACGGGGTATGTTTCTATCAGTGGGCTAACCCACTAACCCCAGCACCACTTAGGGGCATTGTCTGTCTGTCCATTCACCTATGTGTCTATCTGTCCATCCAGTCTGATCTTATCCTGTTTTAGAACTGTGCGGGACAGACCAGCAGCAGCACCTGAAGCCCAGGGACAGTGTAAGAAGCCTTTTATCCCCGTATAAAGCCATGGTCAGTATAGGCTGTATCAGCCATTTCATTTTTGTGTCTTGCTAAAAGCAGTCCGTATATTTCCTATACCTCCTGTGCTCAGGGATGTATTTACCACAAGGCAAACAAGGCATTTGCCTAGGGCGGCACTTTCAGGGGGGGTGCCAAAAAATGCAACTCCAAGCTCCCAGACAAATGCCTTGTTTGCCTCATGTTCTGGGGCTGTCCACCTTACAGTGAGTGAGTGTAGCTGTCAGTGTGTGTCTGTGAGTGAGTGAAAGTGTGTGTCTTTCAGTGAGAATGGGTGTGCCTGTGAGTGTGTGTCAGTGTGTGTATGCCATTTTATGTGTAGCTGAGAGTGTGTGCCTGTCAGTGAAAGTGTGTGTTGGTTAAACAGTGTGTGCCAATGACTGTATGTGTGTGCCAATGACTGTATCGGTCAGTGAGTATATATCAGTGCATGTATCAATGAGGGCATGTGTCTGTCAGTCAAAAAAGTGGCCTTTACACAAATTGGGGGGGGAAATTTAGATTTTGGGGGTGCCCGAATTTAGTCGTGCCTAGGGCAGCACAAATACAAAATACACCACTGCCTGTGCTTCCTTTTCCAGGCAGCAGAGAGCCGCTCACAGCTACAGGAGTCAAACGACTTCGAAGACGGTAAGACTACATTCACCATGTAAATAATGCTGCATCGTATAAAATCCCATTTTTTTTGTAACAGCATAAAGGCGGGAATGTAGTAAAGTGATGAAATTTTTTTCCTGTCACGCAGAGTACCATCCATTACCATCACCGACGCGTTCATCGATGCGCTCCCCTGGAAAAGGCTCCTCTGCGCGGGCCAAAGATGGTACTCGCGTTACCTTCGCTGACAGTAGCCCTCTGGATCCTTTTCCCAAAACTGATCTTTTTACAAATCGTTCAGGGCACGAACATCCCATCTCCACCAGAATTCCAGAGTATGGATCGGGAAAATCATCTGTGTCCATCGATGGAGGCTTCAGGAACTCCTACCTCACATCAACACCTCTTAGAAAAGAGAATTTGGGCAGCAATGAGCCAGCCAAGGGTGAGCCCGGTAATCATGGGCAAGCAACCGATCACTTGGACGAGTCCAGCAGTGAGCGTTTATTACGGCTTAGTTCTGGTAAATAATAGCCTAATGCAATAGAATGCGATATTAATAAATGGATCGTGTTAAACGTGTGTTTGTGTTAATTGTAACATTTTCTTTTAATATACTTTTTAGACCTTTATGTCACCACTCATCTGAATGACCCCCACTTGTCAACGTCTTCATCCACATGGAGAAAAGGCTTCAGCAACATCTCAAAATCCTACACCTTACCCAACAAACCCTCCATAGGAAACCATCACCTCTACACAAAGGCCGAGAATTGGCCAGAAAACAGCAGAAACTACAAGGCTTGGAATCCCGGGAAAGACTGTGAATTGGCCGTTCACAACATGTCCATTGGTCAGAGTGGGATGAAAAGATCCAGCAGTCTGAACTCATTAACTACAACCGCAAACGCACGCGCTGACAGATATGTGAGTAGGCTTACACTGAATTATGGGGAGACTGGGCTACTCTACTGCGTAACAGTAACAGAGGGATTGAGGGTTTGAGGGCCCTGCTCAGTGAGCTTACATGTTAGAGGGAGTGGGGTATAGTGACACAGTAACAGAGGGATTGAGGGCCCCGCTCAGTGAGTTTACATGTTAGAGGGAGTGGGGTATAGTGACACAGTAACAGAGGGATTGAGGCCTTGCTCAGTGAGTTTACATGCTAGAGGGAGTGGGGGTATAGTGACACAGTAACAGAGGGATTGAGGGCCCTGCTCAGTAAGTTTACATGTTAGAGGGAGTGGGGTATAGTGACACAGTAACAGAAGGATTGAGGCCCTGCTCAGTGAGCTTACATGTTAGAGGGAGTGGGGTATAGTGACACAGTAACAGAGGGATTGAGGGCCCTGCTCAGTGAGTTTACATGTTAGAGGGAGTGGGGTATAGTGACACAGTAACAGAGGGATTGAGGGCCCTGCTCAGTGAGTTTACATGTTAGAGGGAGTGGGGTATAGTGACACAGTAACAGAGGGATTGAGGGCCCTGCTCAGTGAGTTTACATGTTAGAGGGAGTGGGGTATAGTGATACAGTAACAGAGGGATTGAGGGCCCTGCTCAGTGAGTTTACATGTTAGAGGGAGTGGGGTATAGTGACACAGTAACAGAGGGATTGAGGGCCCTGCTCAGTGAGTTTACATGTTAGAGGGAGTGGGGTATAGTGACACAGTAACAGAGGGATTGAGGGCCTGCTCAGTGAGTTTACATGTTAGAGGGAGTGGGGTATAGTGACACAGTAACAGAGGGATTGAGGGCCCTGCTCAGTGAGTTTACATGTTAGAGGGAGTGGGGTATAGTGACACAGTAACAGAGGGATTGAGGCCTGCTCAGTGAGTTTACATGTTAGAGGGAGTGGGGTATAGTGACAGTAACAGAGGGATTGAGGGCCTGCTCAGTGAGTTTACATGTTAGAGGGAGTGGGGTATAGTGACACAGTAACAGAGGGATTGAGGGCCCTGCTCAGTGAGTTTACATGTTAGAGGGAGTGGGGTATAGTGACACAGTAACAGAGGGATTGAGGGCCTGCTCAGTGAGTTTACATGTTAGAGGGAGTGGGGTATAGTGACACAGTAACAGAGGGATTGAGGGCCCTGCTCAGTGAGTTTACATGTTAGAGGGAGTGGGGTATAGTGACACAGTAACAGAGGGATTGAGGGCCTGCTCAGTGAGTTTACATGTAGAGGGAGTGGGGTATAGTGACACAGTAACAGAGGGATTGAGGGCCTGCTCAGTGAGTTTACATGTTAGAGGGAGTGGGGTATAGTGACACAGTAACAGGGGATTGAGGGCTGCTCAGTGAGTTTACATGTTAGAGGGAGTGGGGTATAGTGACACAGTAACAGAGGGATTGAGGGCCTGCTCAGTGAGTTTACATGTTAGAGGGAGTGGGGTATAGTGACACAGTAACAGAGGGATTGAGGGCCCTGCTCAGTGAGTTTACATGTTAGAGGGAGTGGGGTATAGTGACACAGTAACAGAGGGATTGAGGGCCTGCTCAGTGAGTTTACATGTTAGAGGGAGTGGGGTATAGTGACACAGTAACAGAGGGATTGAGGGCCTGCTCAGTGAGTTTACATGTTAGAGGGAGTGGGGTATATTGACACAAAAGGTAAGGATAGTATTAGACTAATTACAGTTGCCATAGAGGAATCACACAGTAAGAAAGGGGATCACGTGTTCCTTTACATCTATTGTTGAACGTATTTGTGGGTGACCATTTTGTGTGAGCCCTGTGGTACCCCATGCAGAACGCACACCGCATGTATAAGTAAATGGTAAAGAATACTAATGACATTAATAAACCTCCATTAATTGCTAATCCATTGCTTTACACGCAGACTGCTGATGCCACGTGGGCCACTAATGGACTCCAGGAAAGAGAGAGCATGGCAGGGGCTCAGCAGGATCCTATAACCCGTGTTCTACAGCAGCTCGTGGACGTTGTGGACCGTTACTGGAACGGTTCAGGCTCACTCCTGCAGAACCAGAAATTCATGCGTAAGTTACATGCCGCAATAATCGACATCATGGGGAGAATCTCAACAGCCATGTGCTAACCAGACATTGCTGAAATTAACCTCTCAATGTCACATGCCCAACCTAAGCCACAGCTAGCCTCTCAATGTCACATGCCCAACCTAAGCCACAGCTAGCCTCTCAATGTCACATGCCCAACCGAAGCCACAGCTAGCCACTCAGTGTCACATGCCCAACCTGAGCCACAGCTAGCCGCTCGTTACATGCCCAACCTGAATCACAGCTAGCCACTCAGTGTCACATGCCCAACCTGAGCCACAGCTAGCCGCTCGTTACATGCCCAACCTGAATCACAGCTAGCCACTCAGTGTCACATGCCCAACCTGAGTCACAGCTAGCCACTCAGTGTCACATGACCTACCTGAGCCACAGCTAGCCACTCAATGTCACGAGCCCAACCTGAGCCACAGCTAGCCACTCAGTGTCACGAGCCCAACCTGAGCCACAGCTCATCACATGCCCAACCTGAGTCACAGCTAGCCACTCAGTGTCACATGCCCAACCTGAGTCACAGCTAGCCACTCAGTGTCACATGCCCAACCTGAGTCACAGCTAGCCACTCAGTGTCACATGCCCAACCTGAGTCACAGCTAGCCACTCAGTGTCACATGCCCAACCTGAGTCACAGCTAGCCACTCAATGTCACATGCCCAACCTGAGTCACAGCTAGCCACTCAGTGTCACATGCCCAACCTGAGTCACAGCTAGCCACTCAATGTCACATGCCCAACCTGAGCCACAGCTAGCCACTCAATGTCACATGCCCAACCTGAGTCACAGCTAGCCACTCAGTGTCACATGCCCAACCTGAGCCACAGCTAGCCACTCAGTGTCACATGCCCAACCTGAGTCACAGCTAGCCACTCAATGTCACATGCCCAACCTGAGCCACAGCTAGCCACTCAATGTCACGAGCCCAACCTGAGTCACAGCTAGCCACTCAGTGTCACATGCCCAACCTGAGCCACAGCTAGCCACTCAGTGTCACATGCCCAACCTGAGCCACAGCTAGCCACTCAATGTCACATGCCCAACCTGAGTCACAGCTAGCCTCTCAATGTCACATGCCCAATCTGTGCCACAGCTAGCCGCTCGTCACAAACCCAACCTGAGTCACAGCTAACCACTCAATGTCACGAGCCCAACCTGAGCCACAGCTAGCCGCTCGTCATATGCCCAACCTGAGTCACAGCTAGCCGCTCGTCACATGCCCAACCTGAGTCACACCTAGCCACTCAGTGTCGCATGCCCAACCTGAGCCACAGGTAGACTCTTGCTGTAACTCACCAAAGTAAGTCAAGGAACACATCGTGTTGTTGGTTATTAGTAACATAGTAAAATATAAGGTGAAAGATCATTTTTAAAATAAAACTATTCAAAGGTTAATTTTCATTTCAAAATAACTGCTCGGTGATATGATTTCTAGGGTTCGCCTAGTAATCAGCTGGAATTTTTTTTGTGTGTGAGAAAGTTCCCTTTTCAGTAAGAATATGACCCATCTTATGTCTTCCTTAGAGCCGGCACGTGAGTTACTGTCTGAGCTCCTGACAGCACACTCAGAGGCCCGGGCAGCGGATCGTGACAGCAGGCACCTGGTAAATAATGCAACCACGAACATCCTGTGGACTGTCACAGTGACTATCTCAATCAGTAGAAGGGCTCAAAGCACTACACATGGAGCAATCAGCAGGGACATTCCATTGGTTTCCATGGTGACTGTTACAGCTGTAGAGCAATCAGCGGGAACATTCCATTGGTTTCCATGGTGACTGTTACAGCTGTAGAGCAATCAGCGGGAACATTCCATTGGTTTCCATGGTGACTGTTACAGTTGTAGAGCAATCAGCAGGAACATTCCGTTGGTTTCCATGGTGACTGTTACAGCTGTAGAGCAATCAGCAGGAACATTCCATTGGTTTCCATGGTGACTGTTACAGCTGTAGAGCAATCAGCAGGAACATTCCATTGGTTTCCATGGTGACTGTTACAGCTGTAGAGCAATCAGCAGGAACATTCCATTGGTTTCCATGGTGACTGTTACAGCTGTAGAGCAATCAGCAGGAACATTCCATTGGTTTCCATGGTGATAACGCTACTTTTGCCTCAGAATTAAAAATGTTTTGGTTAAAACCCCTGTTTACCCTTTTTAAAGACTGCAGAACCTAATACATCGACCTGTCCAGGATATAGTTATGGATTTTCATTTGAGGGTAAAGTTTCCATGCATGGATTGGTTCTGGTGTTGATTAGGAGGAATTTCATTTACTTGTGCACACATCTAACGATCACCAGGGAAATATTTAACTCTTCCTGGTTTCATAGAAGTTACCCCTAGTATATAAAAGATAGTCGAAGAGTTAGCAAGACATCACTAACAGTAAACAGAGCAATTACTGAATAATGGAACCAGTGGTTTCCATAGTGACTGTCCCATTTACAGATCCCCCTATCGGAAGCACTGGGTGAGGAGAGGATTTAATGATACCACCTGTCCCACGAGGGCTAGATCCAGATCTTACCTTTATCTTCTGGGCTATTTATTGATGGGGGCCGTTTAGACTTTACTTTTCAATCCTTGCCATTTTTCTGCTATTGTTCATTTTAGGAATCTTTACAGCAGCAACTACTTAAAGTCACGGAGGAAAACTGCAACCTTCAGGGCAAAATGTCCCGAGTGGCACTCACTGAATCAGCGGGCACTAAGGCAGTCTCATTAGGTAACGACCATTATACCAAACTGCTCAGTCGTGTCACCATGGACCCAGCATTAATTACACTGAGGAATTGGAGAAGCGACAGACTTTCCAACTTTGGGTCAAAATAGCTAGACCACAAAATTAGAGCTCTCACATTCTTTTGTCCAAACCGTGCAATTCCCTTGTCAATTTGTCACAATTCCTGCTTTAGGGAATGCGACTCCAGTTTTGCTACATTGCTGTCCACAGTTAGCTAGTGCCACCCGCGTCTTAGAGCAGAATATCCATTCCTTCATGGAACTAACACTTTTTGTTCTCTAGAAGAACTGGCAGAGAGATACAGAAAGCTGGATTCCCAGGTAACTCTCTTAGAACAGCAGCAGCGGAACCATTCCCATCACCAGCAAGACACAGTGAGCCTTCTACACGAGTCTCAGCGGTGAGTGCGACCCAACACCCACTGGCATATTATCAGAACCGGGTTTTGTAAGATGTTCTTTACAGCTTTAGGATACTGTGCCCCTTTTTAAATGACAATATCTCTTAAACCCACTCATTACTACAGCCCGATCAAGCTTGGATCGGTGTGACACATCGTGCATGCGCAGTCATCACTATCTGCCAACCCAGGCCTCGAGAAGTGGACACACAACGTTGGGTTTGAGAATATTTTGTGTATAATAGATTCAGTATCTGATTCTGTTTGTGTCTGACAGCCTCGAGTAGGCGTGGGCATTGCAAAATGTAAAGAGTGCGGTATCTTAGAGACTGCACTATGCCCGATACCTGCAGAGATGAAGTGATTGTGGTGCTTATCCTTTACATCGTGCACTACAATCACTTAATTAACGGATTATGATGCTTACCCTGTGCCTTTAAACCAGGACGGGTTGTGTGTACGGGCAGCGATACAAACTTGCAATCCCTATGCTATAGTGCCTTGTTAGCGGTTTAGGTTCCAAGCCCCCACCCATAGGGACTAACAGCAGCTTTACTTGTATCCTCCCTCCCAATGCAGGTCTCCATGGCTGAGATGATTCAGACTGACATAGGAAAGCATAGGGAGGATAGTGCTCTATGAGACCACTCTGCTATCTCTGCAGTGACAGTCCCTAGCAGGATTTAATGTTTTACATTGCAGGGTTAAAGCTACAGGGTGCTGTTATTCTCTGACACTGCAGCATTAATGGACTATACTTCATGTGATCCCAGCAAGCTGCATATTAGACATTACTTCCCAAATAAAAGTCTTTATTAGGTAGCATCACTCTTCCTGTGTCACACAGGTTAAAGTCAAACCATACTATGTACAGAAAACGCAGATCAATATATCAATTAAAGTAGGTAGTGTATGCATAGTGACCGTAAAACCACGCCAATCACAGGAGATGAACCCCTACAACACACTCAAAGAATACAAAGAGCCTAGAACCTGCATAAAGGATACAACTGGATCATTCCATAGAAAGACCAACAGGGTTATATAGCAAAGTGGGAATGGTCAGGAATTCAACGTAAATGTAAAAACCTAGGCCGAAGTAGCCGAATTGGAATGCTATGCTTTCCGTGTTGCCATTTTTACCTGAAATTTACTTTTAACTGCCAACATTTCACACTCAAAGCAAATAACCCTGAAACTGCAACCAGGGTAGGCAACCTTCGGACTACATCTCCCATAATGCATGCCTACAACATCTGGAGTGCCGAAGGCTGTGTACCCGTGCCCTAGAGCAATACATGAAATCACAGCCCCAGCATCAGAAACAAACTCTATGCCGTTATTCTCTGTCCATAGGAAAGGCGTATACAGCATTGCTTTATTGGGCTTTGTCTTGCAGGGCTCTCGTCTCCACCAATGAATATCTCCTGCAGCAGCTGAATAGAGGCTCCACCACCTACCACTCCAAGCTACTAGCTTCCCCAAACGGTAATACAAACAAACCATCATTCCTGGACCCAGGACCCACATCTGCCTTACCGGTCCACAGAACCAGTACTTACCGCAGGCCGGAGCAGCTTAGCCAATGCCCACTGTAAGGAGGAACGAAGCCTTTCTGCACGCTCAGAAGCAGACCTTTAAATAAAATTCAAAGTTATGATATAGGGTAGGTTTGTTCACACAGAGAGCATGCCTCAATTCTGCATAAATTACTGATTATGAGTTTGTGCAGTTTCTAATTTAATAAATTTTTACTTTTATTAGAATGTTTTACTATTTAAGTCGGGATATTTGCGTTTATTGTGGTAACATACATAATGTTTAATTTGCCGTGATTAAGGGTAAGGGCTGAGAAAATGATAAAATGTAGCGTATTAAAACAGATGTACAAACCAACACAATGTCCTGGCCATTCACAAGCCTTCTGGAATTATTTGGGAATAAGCCTGAATCACAAAACACAGCACTAGGCCCACAATGGCATATTCGGGAATATTCGAATTGTAGAGGAGATTGCTGGGATGCGTGTTAATAGGGACAGTCATGGACTATGAAATGTCGTGAATAAATGGTATCCGTGCGCTTAATTCCTCTTTTAAAAGTTGCACAGAGAAAATAAGGGGAATTTTTTTTTATTCCTTTTGATTGAATACTTGACCAGGCTAATAGAAAAGCGTAGAATACCAAATCTATTTGTAACCAAACGAGGTAAGCCAGCGTGACTTGCAGTTTACAGTGTGTATATCAAACCAATAAGTGTCACAACAGAACAAGTCAGCGAGTAAAGGATCATGGGACATTACAAACTATTATTAGCATCGCCATTTATTTCTTTATTTTTGGCATGACATTGCAATACAGTGGTGTGGTAGAGCGTCCATTACATGGTATTGGCATTATTTAACATAGGTTTGTAGACAGGTTATACTCCATTTTACACCTGTTCGTACCACATCTCCAATTTGAGTGTACTTGCTATTTAGTGTCATTTTTCTTCACTTATATTTTGAAGAAAACAGAACAAAATAACTAAAATCAAAATTATGAAACCTTGGTCGGTAACAGTAATAGAATATTTTAGGGGGAAATGGAGAGGAAGGGTGGGTGGGGGAGACCCCCTCATGGTAGAGTTCGGAGCACCGTGGGAGGCTCCTTTGGGATCGATGTGAGTGTTAGACCCGTGGGGGTATCCCTATTGTGTTCCCCACTCAGCTCTCCCAATCCCCTGCTATCCACAGGTCCCAGACTTTTTTGTAAGATTTCATGGTGCCTCTCACCAGTGCCTTAAGGTGGTCCATGACTTGTGTGTCTTTTATTTTGTGTATTACTGTGTTTACCTGGGGGATTGCTGGTTTAAGCCATGCCTGTGCCATAGTGAGTCTGGCAGAAAGCGTGATTTTGTGCAGGAGTTTCTGTTCCCCTCCTTGGCCAATCTTCTAGTGTTCGAGAGAGCAGAAAAACACATGGGTCTAATGTTACTTTTCTGTGGAATACCCTATCAAGAAGGTTCCCAACTCCCCTCCAGAAGGTCTGCACTTTCGGGCAGTCCCACCACATATGCATGTACGTCCCTTTGTTTCCGCAGCCCCTCTAGCACAAGTTGTCTGGAGTTTCTCTCATATGGTACAATTTTACTGGGGTGGTATACCATCTCAGCATGGTCTTATAGGCCTGCTATTGTTGTGTGACACACACTGAGATAGCTTTGTTTGCGTCCCAGATTTCTCTCCATTCTGTGCCCTCTGATCTGATTGCTTGCATTAGGGGTTCTAGTGTGAGTACGAACAGGAGGGGTGACAGTGGGCCGCCCTGTCGTGTGCCATTGTGTAGGGCAATAAGGGCTGTCGTGGCGCCCGGGATCCGGATGTGTGCCTTGACATCTGTGTACATGGCTTGGATTGTTTTAATGTACGTCTCGGGGAACCGGAGATGTCGTAAGAGTTCAAACAGGTATGTCCACTTTACCCTGTCAAACGCCTTTTCGGCGTCGAGAGAGAGTATAAGCGTTGGGGTGTGTGAGGTCATCCGTGTACATATTAAGTCGATGTTGCGTCTAGTGTTTTCAAATAGCTGTCGTCCGGGAATGAAGCCCACCTGGTCTGCGTGGATTAGGTTCGTTAAGTGTGGAGATAGTCTTTCCGCTAATATCTTGGCCAGTAGTTTAACGTCGTGGTTGATCAGCAATATGGGTCTGTAATGTTCAGGGTATGTTGTGTCTTTCCCCGGTTTTGGTATTAGTACTATGTGGGCCGTAGACATTTCTGGGTCAGGATGTCCACCTTGCATCAGGTGGTTGAACCACTTTAGTAGGCGAGTTATCAGCTCTTCTCTATATGTCTTGTAATAGCTGCCCTCGTAGCCACCGGGACCCGGGGCCTTTCATCCCTTAAGATGGGAGACAGCTCTGTCTATTTCGTCCGCTGTGAATTCATCCCCCAGGGTCTCTATTGCTGAAGGGGTTAGTTTCGGGAGATCAATTTTGCTAAGGTGTTGCCTGATATCTTCCCGCGTGTCTGGTGCATTGTCGGCGTCAGTGGTGGTGTGATTGTATAGGGATTTATAGAAGTCGGTGAAGATTTGAGCTATATCCGCTGGTGCTGTTTTAGTCTGTCCTGTATGGTCCCTGATTGTTGTGATGTGTGTTTGTCTTGGTCGCGGGCGCAGTGTGCGGGCCAGGAGTGTGTGCATTTTGTTGGCCTGTTCATAGAATGTTCTCTTAGACCATGTCATAACTTTTGCGACATCGTCTAACAGAGTCTCTCTAATGTGGCGTTGGGTAGTCTGTAGGGCTATGAGTCCGTCGGGTGTGGGGTTGGATTTGTGTCTCTGTTTTTGAGTGTGTAAGTCGCGTAAAAGGGTTTTTAATTGTTGTGTTTTTAGTTTCTTTTTTCTGGTGGCTTCCCTGATGAGGGTACCTCTGATAACCGTTTTGTGAGCAGCCCATATGGTTGTGGGAGTCAGGTCCTGTGTGGTGTTTAGTTGGAAGTATTCTACAATCTCTCTGCATATAGTCTTTTTAATGGCTGGGTCCTGCAGTAGGGACGTGTTTAGTTTTCAGTTCCACTGGGTGTGGTACAGAGGTTGTCTAGTTCTAAGCTGATGTCTGCATGGTCCGACCATGTGATGGATCCTACTGAGGACTGTGTAGTCTTTTGGATGGCTTGGTCGTTTACTAAGAAGTAGTCAATGCGGGAGTAGAATGTGTAGTCTACTTCTCCTGGGAGTTGGGCCCACCACACATCTATCAGTCCCGTTGTGCAGATAAAGTCATGTATCAGTCTGTCTTGTCTCCCTCTGCCGTGTGAGCATGGTAAGCCCCTTATGGTCCTCCTATCTGCGGCAGGGCATGGAACGGCGTTAAAGTCACCTCCCATTATAATCATGCCATGCTGTAAAGCTTTCAGTTTGTCCGCTATTTGATCCCAGAAATCTCTGGCTGGTTCATTAGGTGCATAAATGTTTATGAGGTGAATGGTGTGAGCAAATAACGTCCCGGAAATTATGAGGTATCGTCCATCTGGATCTGGGTTGACCCCTGTGACCCGTAGCGGACAACGTTTGTGTATTAGAATCTAGTTTGGAGTGTAATCTAGCCTCATAGCCTGTGCTGTACCTAGGGATATCTGAGGGATATCCCTAGGGTCTTCGGCAGGTGGGTTTCTTGTAGAAAGGCTATATCTGGGTCTAGTCTTTTAAGTTCTCTGTATAAGAGCCTACGCTTTTTAGGGGCATTCAGCCCTTTAACGTTTAGGGAATTGATACGTGTGGACATAGTGGTGTCTGGGATTAGTGCAAGTGGGCTGACTTACAGGTGTTGTCTTCCGGCAGGCCCTGCGGGTTTTGCGTGGGGGTGCCGCTTGTCTCTGTCCTTGTGATCCTCAAGATCGGGTTGCTCTGACAACCATGAGGGGGAGGGAAAAACAAAGGTAGTTAATCATAACAGAGATATAAACAGAAAAAAAAACTGAAAAACCGTCTGGTCTTATCTCTTGCCAGACTTGTGTGGGGCGCCTGCATCAGCGCTGCCGGCCCATCAACAGTGGGTGCGGCACACGGACGCATGGGCCCTAATCTGTACAATCTAGTCCCTAGGCCCTTTTATTACATGCGTGAGCACGTCTACGGGGTCGTCCCTGTGACCCGTCTATCTTGCCCGTCGGTCAGTGTGTCTTATAGGAGGCCAGAAAGGTCTTGGTTCATGTCGCGGCATGTCCTTGGGTCCAGGAGTTCGTGTGGTCTTGTCAGGGGGTTCAGCGTAAGGGGGATGTGTACTTGTTGTGTGATCCTCATCTCTGCTAGCCCCTCCGTGTGTTTACAGTCTGTAGGTGGTGCTATTTGGTGTCATCTTTAAGGGTTATGGGCGTCCATGTGGTGTAGTGTAACTTTGGTAAACCCCATGTCTAGCCTGAGTGCCTATTCTCAGCAGGTGATGATGGCTTGGCAGGACTCTTTCCTTAGTCTTGTGTCTGTTTAAGGTGGCTTGACCTGTCCGTTCAGTATAATGTAGCGGATCTAATCGTCATGGTATAGCTAGGGACAAGACCTCTTTTGTACTATTCGGTGATGGCATAAGTTGCAGCTTGCCTATGCCTATTGTCGTAGCAGGGCGTTCAATCCTATACATGTGAGGTTCGCTAAACACCATGTTATTTTTTCAGAGGTTGTCAATGGAGCGGGTTGTTAACATCTATTCTACCAAACAGCCCGCTACCAGGTAGCTGCATGGTGCCGGATATACCTTAATTTCCTTCTCAACCCCACTGTCCTGGCTCGGTGCCTCCGTATTAGACTGCTTGGGATAGTTCGTAGACTTGTCCCCCCACCATTAGGCTTCTCATGCTGAGAGGGAGAGGGGGGGTTCCATACTTGCCATCAGTGTCCCTGGATATCTCACCTTGTCTGCCAAGGTGGGGTGGTCAGGCTTGAAGTGCTCGGTGTGTCTGCCCTGTGGTTTGTGCCATCACTTGCCCGCTGTATACCACTCTCTATGTAGAAGCTGCAGGTCCGCTGGATTTGCTGTCTGCCATTGGAGGTCTGGTGGGGCCTGGATGTCTAGTGCCTGAAGAAAGGCCACTGCGTCGCCATCTGGTGTTAGTATCTTCAGTCTGCCATTCTTGAACGCCATGAGCTTGAAGGGGTGTCCCCAGGCATATTTTGTTTTGTGGCTTCTGAGGATGTCTGTAACCGGTCGCCATTCTCTGCACCTCTGGAGTGTCGCTGGGGCCAGGTCTTGGAATAGGAGGATAGTCGTCCCTTTATAGGTGATGGGGCCTTCTCTGCTGCGTTTAATGATAGTTTCTTTTGTTTGAAAATGTTGGAAGCGCATAATGATATCCCTCGGCTGTTTGGCATCCAGATTTCTTGTGCCCAGGGCTCGGTGAACCCGGTCTAGGTGCCAGTGGTTGTCTGGGATGTCCGGTGCGAGGGGCTTCAGGATCGCCAGGACCGTGCCTGACAGACTTCCTCCACCCTCCCTTTCTGGTAGGCCTCTTAGCCTGATATTTTGTCAGTAGCGGTTGGCTCGCTCTTCCAGGGCTGTTTCCGCTGCTACCAGCCGTGATGTGAGGTTAACGTAACGGGTTACCTCATTGTGGGCTATAACGGCTGTCTCCTGTCTTTGTTCCAGGGTGGTAGTGCGGTGCCCAAGTGTCGCGATCTCTGCCTTAACCTCCGCCGTGGATCTGCTGATTGTAGCGGAGAGGTAGTACAATCCACGGTATCTCCGCTGGGTAACAGGAACAGCATAAAATAATCCAGATAAATAAGCACAGCATACAATAATCCCGGTGGCGTTGTATGAATCCTTCCCTCCTAAAATCTAGATGACACATGGGAGTCAACTGAGCTTTTAATCACAGGTCATCGTATTTATGGGATTCCCCATGCAAGGGGTTTCCTTACTGACATTCCAGGGGTTGTACAGTAGGGGACTACATGAGGGATTTAGCAACCTGGACATTTCTCCCACCATGCACTGCTGTACGAGAGGAATACTCCCACTAGAATACCCAGTTAAGTGGATTATCCTTCCGTCCAGCAGAACTGACATTTTACATAAATATACATAACTTCCATATTATTCACGTTATTTTACCGAATGACCGTTCGGCAGATAGCTGGGGTCTGAGCACACCTTTCGTGAAAGTACCGCTCAGATCCTAGCATAAATAACCGAACGCCGCATGAAAATACATATTACTTTATCTTCACCTTAAAATACCGAATGCATATAGGGGAACAAACTACTGAATGACCGTGCTCCCGAACAGCCTGGAAGTCCAGCGGTATTCCTGCTGTCGAGTAGCCGATTTTAGTTCCCGCCGCTTGACGACCAAATACCGCTGGGCTAACAAAGGATCCAAGATGGCCTACCGCCGCATGGTCGGTAGCCACCCTGAAACCCAATAATCACGAAGAAAACATTGTTGCACCTCCTGTGTGTGGTCTCCCATTCGGTAGTTAGTTCGTTTCACGAACAGTGTTGAAATACACTGTTCGTGAGACTATTGTATGAATGCTGGCGGCTTTCCCGCCGCACAGCATACGAATGCTCTCGTTCACACAATATTACACATACAGGTATCAACTTGGTTCTAACAGTCTTTAAAGGGATAGTATCCCACACAACAAAATTACATGCCGACGTGGCTGGTTTTGCCACACTGATCTCCCCTGCCAGGTAAGTTTTCACCTCCATCAGTTTAGTTAGGATTTGGGAGGTATCCCCCTTTGGTGAATTGGGGCACTGGGGGAGTCTCTGGGTGAGCCGGCGTCGAGGTGGTTTTGGGGCTGTATCGGCCACCATCTTGGTGGTCTGGCTGGGCCGCGCAAGATACCGCAAACATGTCGGCCACCAAGGTGCTCGCATCTGACGGCTTCATTTGGGGTTTCCGCTGGATTGTTTTATCCATGCTGGGTGCACATTAGGGTGATTTTTTGCTCACTTGTTAGCTTTTGGGCGCTGTAGGGCCTATTCTCGGCGGGAGCTCAGCATCATGGTCAGGCCATGACCCTGATCATCGCCATCAGATTCCGCAGCGCTTACTCTGAGCTATTGCAAAGTATCAGGTCAATTCTCTTAGTGACCTGAATGCCAAACTGATTAATCTAAAGAGGCCAGAGAGGAGCTCTAATTAATAAAATGGGACAAGATCTATCCAGATCAGTATGAAAATTCAGTCGTTTTAACAATTAACATCCACTTACCTGCCGTGTACGATATAGATATATATTGCCAGGTCCATCTAGGATTAACCCTTTCTGCTGTAAACATATTACATATTGGTTAATCCAGCCTCTAGTGGCGGTCTCATTGACAGCCGCTAGAGGCGCTTCTCACTGTGATTTTCACAGTGAGAAGACGCCAGCATTCATAGGAACGCATTGAGAATGCTTTCCTATGGACTGGCTGAATGCGCGCGGCTCTTGCCGCGCATGTGCATTCAGCCAATGACGGCCAAAGAAGGAGAGTCCCCAGCGCTGGAGAAAAGTGTGTGTTTAACCCCTTCCTCCCACTTCAGCCCGGCTGGATGAGGACCCTGAGGGTGGGGGCACCCTCAGGGCACTATAGTGCCAGGAAAATGAGTATGTTTTCCTGGCATTATAGTGGTCCTTTAAAACGTGAACAGCAGATGTTTGTGGGAGCTGTATTCCAGTTGTCAGCTTTGTAGGAAATGGTCCCAACAGTCACGAGCCATTCATTTTCATGCCCTGACGGTTTATGGGATACATAGTTCATCACAGTTTGTTTAAAAAGTGGATCGCAGTTGTATTACAGCCACCAGCCTCATCCACAGCTGTAAAGGAACGCACTCTGTAGCAGTACATTGGATGCTTAGAGATGGTATGGTAACCAGAACCTCTACAGCTTAATGTATTCGTTCTGGTGTCCAGATTTGGTCCCTGCAGGCTTTAGTGTAAATTAAGAATTTCACATTGCTACCAAGTAAGACATCTAGTGGCAGTCACTCACAGCCACTAGAGGGGCTTCCTGGGTCAGTGCTGCACAGTAAGCAGCACTGGCGTTCCGGGGAGCTAAACAGCCATATCAGGACTATGGTGTTTATTATAAATGCAGTGGATTGTTTCCTCCTTTGCCGTCCATTCTTAGTGTTAAAGCTGCAGTTATAATACACTGTGTGCAGAGAGACAGGGGACCTCCTTACACCATAACCTTATAGCTGCAGTTATAATACACTGTGTGCTGGGAGACAGGGGACCTCCTTACACCATAACCTTATAGCTGCAGTTATAATACACTGTGTGCGGGAGACAGGGGACCTCCTTACACCATAACCTTATAGCTGCAGTTATAATACACTGTGTGCGGGGAGACAGGGGACCTCCTTACACCATAACCTTATAGCTGCAGTTATAATACACTGTGTGTGGGAGACAGGGGACCTCCTTACACCATAACCTTATAGCTGCAGTTATAATACACTGTGTGCGGGGAGACAGGGGACCTCCTTACACCATAACCTTATAGCTGCAGTTATAATACACTGTGTGAGGGGACCTGCAGCTTTATAATACACTGTGTGCGGGGAGACAGGGGACCTCCTTACACCATAACCTTATAGCTGCAGTTATAATACACTGTGTGCGGGGAGACAGGGGACCTCCTTACACCATAACCTTATAGCTGCAGTTATAATACACTGTGTGCAGGGAGACAGGGGACCTCCTTACACCATAACCTTATAGCTGCAGTTATAATACACTGTGTGCGGGGAGACAGGGGACCTCCTTACACCATAACCTTATAGCTGCAGTTATAATACACTGTGTGCGGGAGACAGGGGACCTCCTTACACCATAACCTTATAGCTGCAGTTATAATACACTGTGTGCGGGGAGACAGGGGACCTCCTTACACCATAACCTTATAGCTGCAGTTATAATACACTGTGTGCAGGAGACAGGGACCTCCTTTACACCATAACCTTATAGCTGCAGTTATAATACACTGTGTGAGGGGACAGGGGACCTCCTTACACCATAACCTTATAGAGTTATAATACACTGTGTGCGGGGAGACAGGGGACCTCCTTACACCATAACCTTATAGCTGCAGTTATAATACACTGTGTGCAGGGACACAGGGGACCTCCTTACACCATAACCTTATAGCTGCAGTTATAATACACTGTGCATGGAGACAGGGGACCTCCTTACACCATAACCTTATAGCTGCAGTTATAATACACTGTGTGCGGGGAGACAGGGGACCTCCTTACACCATAACCTTATAGCTGCAGTTATAATACACTGTGTGCGGGGAGACAGGGGACCTCCTTTCACCATAACCTTATAGCTGCAGTTATAATACACTGTGTGCAGGGAGAAAGGGGACCTCCTTACACCATAACCTTATAGCTACAGTTATAATACACTGTGTGCGGGGAGACAGGGGACCTCCTTACACCATAACCTTATAGCTGCAGTTATAATACACTGTGTGCTGGGAGACAAGGGACCTCCTTACACCATAACCTTATAGCTGCAGTTATAATACACTGTGTGCGGGGAGACAGGGGGCCTCCTTACACCATAACCTTATAGCTGCAGTTATATTACACTGTGTGGGGAGACAGGGGGTCTCCTTACACCATAACCTTATAGCTGCAGTTATAATACACTGTGTGCGGGGAGACAGGGGACCTCCTTACACCATAACCTTATAGCTGCAGTTATAATACACTGTGTGCGGGGAGACAGGGGGCCTCCTTACACCATAACCTTATAGCTGCAGTTATAATACACTGTGTGCGGGGAGACAGGGGACCTCCTTACAATATAACTTTGTATGCTGAGGTTATAGTAGCTTTTTTCCCCATTAAGCTAAATACACGATCGCTAGGGCATTAGTAATATTACAATGCAGAACCTTTATAGCAAAACTTGGAATAAATGTCCAGACAGTAAAGGGATCCTATTCAGCTCAGTTTTACCATTTTATTAAATCCAACCAAATAAAAACAAGTCCAAAACTGATCTTTAAAGAAATATTGCAACGTTGGATCATTTCTCTGCCTAATGCCCACTACAGTTCAATGGACAGTTTAGCCACAGAAAGGTAGCAATACTTTGCAGGGAAGATTGGAATTTGTGATTAAGACTAAGTGCTAAACGGAGCGTTAATATATTTACAATTTTATAGCCTATTTACAAAAACAAAAATAAAATAAAAGCATTTTAAAACCATTAAATACTACCAACTGTTATTTGTAGTGTGCATGAAGCTTAGCATCTCTAAACAAAAGATACACCCCCCCCCCAAACGTTCCTCTGTACAGCAAGGCGCCATCTTGGATTCAGTGTCCCAAACAAACCCATGGGGTCCATCAGCAGTCCTACACCAAAACAAATGGCTGTAGGACCAGCAAGCTGGAGAACACCACACATGCAGCTCCTGTAGCATAGCACCTTACATTCCGCAAGCTGATACATGACGGCACACTCTCCATACAAATATAGTCTGCGCCCCAGGTTCTTAGAATGGAAAACTCAATTAGGGGCACGAGAGTAAGACAAGGTTTGAATTAAAACATTTTGCAGAAGTGGTGGCAATCCATGAGGAAATTCTAAACTCAGACTGATGTAGGAGAGAGGGCCATTTTCTTTAATACAGTCAACGCCATGATAAAAGTGTACCAAGTCCATGTATTGCCCTAGGCCTGCAGAGCGTTCTCCTCTTTGCTGAACGGTAAGACAGAGCCAGGCTTCACCCAAGACAATCCAGTTACATTGGAACTTTTCATTTGTTCTTCTGACTTTTTCTGGAAAGAAAGAAACATGAAAGTTTATAAGTGAAAACAGTAAGATGGTTTAAAAGTGTGAAAGCATGCATGTAAACCCTCACACAATGCGGGCTAGCAGTGGGTGCACACGGATTGCCAGGCTAGCATTACACACACACACACACACACACACAGATTGCCAGGCTAGCATTACACACACACACACACAGATTGCCGGGCTAGCATTACACACACACACACACACACAGAT